CCCCAAAACCCCAAAACCCCAAAACCCCAAAACCCCTATCGCCAGCCAAAATTTGAACCAACTTAAGAAGTACAACAAAATTGTTGGAATAGATTAGGATCATCTATTATTAGAATCTGAGAGAATGGGCATCTCCAGTCCATCCACAAGCATTGTTGGAGTAGTCAAGTCTGATGATTCCGTCCTCTCCCCAGTCTCCTCCCCATGAGTTTCTGATTGAGACAGTGCCTTCGTTAGAGTTGAATCCAACCAAAGTGACAGCGTGATTGTTTCCTCTTCCAGAGCAATCAGTCATGATTCCGCCGGTGTAGTAAGGCCAAGATGAAGCATCAACACCAATATCAACGGGTCCGCTTTGGAGCTCAGTGACAATCTCTGAGTTTACTTTAGCCAAATTGGTGCAAGAAGTAGCTCTGATTCCAGTGCTGCATTTCTGGCATTTTCCTTTCTTAGCCTTGTACTCATATCCATCTTGAAGACAGATGTCGTTCTTCTGGTAGAATTGGAAGGCACGAGCTTCAACTCCTCCGTTACATCCCATTTGTGGGAAGCCGTTACAGTCAAGAAGTTGCTGTTCAGCGAATCTTGTAGTCACCTTATCTGTAATTCCTTGGGAGATAGCATATCTTCCTTCAGCAACAGCTGCGGATGCGAAGCACCAGCAGGCTCCACAGTTGCCTTGGTCCTTATAAGCTCCCATGAAGTCAGCCCAGGAGATTGTTTGAGGGGATCCTTCTGGGGTGTAAGCCTTGCAGCTTCCGTTATCATCACTGCTTCTCTTGGTAAGCATTGACTCAAGTTCTTCCTCAGTTCTATCAGCAAACTTGTTGATACCGAAGGTAGCCAATGGATTAGCCTTATTCAATCTGGCAATCTTCTCCAAATTTTTCTCAAAAGCTTTTTGTCTGAATTCATATTCAGCAGAGTTAGCATAGCTGACCTTGTGGGTCTGGATGAAGTTCTGGAATTCAGAGTTGAGAGTCGTGTCCTCACTGAACAGACCCAAGTAAGCTACAGAGGCGAGACCAATGACGGTCAAGGCAATAAATGCTTTCATTTATGTTGATAAATATTATAGATATTCTATTCTAATATATTATCACGGGGTTTTGGGGTTTTGGGGTTTTGGGGTTTTGGGGTTTTGGGG